TTTTTACCCGGTTTTCTCCCCAATTTAGTCTTTTGCCAGTTCCACCCTCTAGTTAGGACTCCCCCAATCACACAACGCTATCAACGCTAGGAGGGCGAGGCTAACACAGGCTTCCTCCGAGACCTGTGAAACCAGCCACCGCATCTTTTCGAACTGCCGCTCACGCAACGTCACTGGACAGCTGAACGCGCTCGGAGGAAAGCGCCAACCGCCAGATCTGTTACGTCAGCTAACAGACGCCTGCGCTGACTAGCATCGCGCTGAGTGAGTGATGGGGGGGAGAAAGGCAGCCATCTGACCCACCCAGAGAGAGCGAGGCCAATTGTGCTCTCTTGGACTCCCGGCTACGGATGGCTGTAGCATCACCAGGGATCGAACTCGCGATCTCCTGATGATAGGGTGAACGCTTAGACGGTTGCGCCACTCGGGAGCCCCCACATTATCTTTTAAATGTGATCTGTATGCGACATCAGTCTAAACAGATCAGCTCCTAAACCGACCAGCATGCGCAAAAGAACAACGCGTCACGTTGCTTCACGCGGCTCATCCAGAGGTAAACAATGACTTCTAAGTGCCAGTCGCTCCCGGAGGGTTCAGTTTCATCTTTGCCAACATCACAGGAGCCATCATGAAGCTTTATTGACAGCTGGGCTCGTCACCCAGAATGTGTTGGAGCTCGCCGTAAAAAGGGCGCGGTCACTTCTTTGGTTCGCGTCCTCGGATTCTTTAAACTTCGCTTTCAGACTTTTAGCTGTTCTTTGACGCTGCAGCCTCGTTCTCCTCTCCGCGTTCGGCCACTTCTTTTAAAATCTCTTCAAACACGGAGGGTTTTGGAAAAGTCTCTTCTAATTTTTTACAGAACTATCACCCCAAATGTTAATGAGACTCAGCAGCACGAAATTATGATTAAAGTCAAGTTGGTTTGACATACAAGTTGCATGAATTCCGATCTGGCTGTTCAGAGTCGCATTGCTGCAGATCTGATACGTATCAGATTTCAGTACCACATATGAAAGCGTCTCAAATTGGAATTGAAAATGTCAGATTCGTTTTTTGCTGTTCACACTGACATACAGATGACACATCTGTGTGACATATGAAGAAAAAAATTGGATTTGGGCCACTTTTACCTGCTGTGTAAACGTAGCCATTAACACTGCTGCTCACAGTTGTTCTTTTCAAGACGAGTGAACACTTTCAAGTTCACATTACCAGGTTAAAGTGGCAGAAATCACTTATCTAAACGAGTGTGAACCATGATGTCAGAGAGATCGGATTTGAGCAAAAAACTGGATTTAAGCAATGAGGCTTGTAATGTGAACATAGCCTTGGGCTTGTTTTGTCCAGACAGATCTAACACGAATTATTAACATGAGATTAAATTTCCAAACGTGCAAATGTATGTATCTCTAGACATGGTGCCTCAAGATATAGTCCCAGTTCTGTATCCAGTATACCAGCAGAAGATGTCAGATCAGATGTTGAAGAATAACTAATCCAATTCAATTTTGTAATAAATGAAGCCTGAAATATAACATGTAGTGCAGCGTAATGAAAGACAAAGTAGGTCAGTTGATAACAGTAGCTACGTGTGTAGCAAGTAGCCAGGCAAGGCCTACAGTCGTGTGCAAAAATTTGCGTTAAACTCTGAAAATAACACATCCTCTACAGAGAACTCACTTCTGCACACTTTAATGCACAGTTTATTTGTTGAATTTAACACACTGGAAGACAAAAAAACATAAAACGTGGCCTGTGCAAAAGTTATTGCACATTTAATATATATATTTTTTTTTTCCCCCAATATGTTAAACTCAGCAAATAAATAGAACTGTACACAAAAATGTGCAGAAAAAAGTAGAGTTTGTGTTACTTTTACTTAGAAAATCAACCAAATATGTGATCTGGCTTGGGGTGTTATAATTTTTGCACATGACTGCATAACAGAGTTACCATTGCTTTGTTGTTTGTAATTTTGGATACACTGTGAGTGATATTTCTCTCTGTGTGTGTGTGTGTGTGTGTGTGTGTGTGTGTGTGTGTGTGTGTGTGTGTGTGTGTGTGAGAGAGAGAGAGAGGAAATGTTTAACTGAATAACAATGTTCATTTTTTGTAAGTCATGTTTTTAGCTTTGTGTTTCTCTGTAGGGCAGTACATGAAGCTGACCATCTTAAATGAAGTGTATCAATTAAAAACAGCTCATTTATTTTTTTTAATGTTCCAAAGAAAATATTAGATCAGTATCAGCTGGATTCGAATCATATAAACCAGCCCAGTAGTTTCATGAAATTTTCACATATAGCTTGTCTTGATGTCTAAATCCAGTCGGGGAGACTAAGTAAGAGGCAGAATTCAAGTTTTATTGAACCATGATTTAGTAAAGCTGTCGGGGACAAAGGCAAGTGATCGTGATTTAATGATTTGAAAATGGTTGCATTTCAAACAGACCATGAAATTGAAATTGGAATTTCATTGCTTTCTCAATGTGATAGAAAGTTCAGAAATGGCTTTTCCCCAATTGTGACTGCTTGTATTATGGTCGTGGTACATGTTTTTGTCGTGAAGTACAAACAGTAGAATAGGGCTGCACAGTTTGGGCATAAATGAGATGTGCAATAAAGTTGTAAGAAATTGCAATGATAATAGGGAATAAATCATGATTAAAATGTAAAATTTCAGTGTGACTGGATGTGATGCAAGTACAGGTCTCTGTTCATTTGTGTAATTAAACCAAAAAAATTGTTTATTGAGCAGTATTTAAACAATAATGGCAATATTTTGAACGGTACTAATTTAAAATTGCATCATTATAACATTTCCTTTGAGCGAATAGCAAAAAAGGACAAAATCGCTGTTCATTGTTGGGCAGTGCAAGATTAAAAATTATGAAGTACTTAAGAAGAAAAACAAAATAAAGAACTGCAGGCATACATTCCTGCCTTGTAATGACATTTAAAAATTAGGCCTACAAAATTTAAAAACAAAAATAAAAAAATAGAAAATGGATAAATATGTGTGTAACTCCTATTGGTGATGCAGGCATGTTCCCAGTGAGTGTAGCTGCTGGGTGCATTTTACTCAGCACTTAAAACTGAGAACAGTCAGCTCATTTAAAGTATTTTTACAGGCTACTATTTAAGGACAGCATAGTTGTTTAGCTGTGCATGTGGATTTGCTTTGTAAGCGGTTGGACAGAGTAGTGTATAAGACATTTGCTCAGCCTGTATGAGACAAAGTTTGATACAGACACTTGAGGCCTGCACGAGTGTGAAATTGAAGCCCAAAATTCAACCCTACCTGCGACTTTGAGAGCTGCCCTGACCAGGCCTGAGAGGCACTGCTGTTTTAAATCAAAAAAAAAAAAAAAAGTTTACTGAAAGTTGAGTGTTTGCTGTTGCAGATTGGTGCAAGGAAGTGAGCAAACTGAAACAAGTTGATCTGAATGAAAAAAAAAAATGAAAAATGCAAATTTGCCCATCTGAAAATGGAACTGAGTGCACTAAGACCCCAAAAGTACTCCTGTAACTCGGTTTTTATATCCGTTTTAAATCCAACATCATAGATAAAGGCTCGTATCTGAGGAAGCAAGTCTGTTCGGTTGCAGGTGAAGCCTTTAGCTTAGCTACTCTTGCCCTACTGTCCTCATTAGTGCAAGAAGGCTCAAAGACTCTCATCTGAGCAGGTGAAGTTGAGTGCCTGGTGCTGAAGTGACAAACATACACAATCTAAATTGTTCTGGTTATTAGCCTGCTAAGATATTGATAGCATTACCAGTCCCACTGTACTCTTCTTACCACTCTGTAGTGGTACACTGGTAACACTTTATTTGGAGTGGTACTTAGTAGATGGTTAATAAACTCTTAATAGATTATCAGTAACACATCAACAACATATCAGTGAAGTAGCTCATCCTGGCCCTAATCCTAACCCGAACCTTAACCCAAAACCTAATCCTCACTCTGCCCCTAATCCTAACCCTAACCTTAACCTCAACCCAAAAACCTAATCCTAACCCTAGCCTTAACCTCAACCCCAGAAATAACCCTCACCCTGGCCCTGATCCTGACCCTAACCTTAACCTCAACCTCAAACCTAATCCTAACCCTGGCCCTAATCCTAACCTTAGCCTTAACCTCAACCCAAAACCTAATCCTAACCCTCATCCTGGCCCTAATCCTAACCCGGAACCTTAACCCAAAACCTAATCCTAACCCGAACCCTGGCCCTAATCCTAACCCTAACCTTAACCTCAACCCCAAAAATAACGCTCACCCTGGCCCTGATCCTGATCCTGACCCTGACCCTAACCTCAACCTCAAACCTGATCCTCACCCTGGCCCTAATCCTAACCCGAACCTTAACCTCAACCCAAAACCTAATCCTAACCCTCATCCTGGCCCTAATCCTAACCCGAACCTTAACCCAAAACCTAATCCTAACCCTCACCCTGGCCCTAATCCTAACCCTAGCCTTAACCTCAACCCAAAACCTAATCCTAACCCTCATCCTGGCCCTAACCCTAACCCTAACCTTAACCTCAACCCCAAAAATAACCCTCACCCTGGCCCTGATCCTGACCCTGACCTTAACCTCAACCTCAAACCTAATCCTGATCCTCACCCTGGCCCTAATCCTAACCCGAACCTTAACCTCAACCCAAAACCTAATCCTGACCCTTACACTGGCCCTAATCCTAACCCTAACCTTAAACTAACCCAAACGCTAGTCCTAACCCTGATATGTTTTTGAGGTTACTGAGAGTCTGTTGTGTTTTTCTCAATATTAAGTGTCACTGCAGTTTTTTGTTCAGTGTATGTTTTACGTTTCGTCTGCTCGTCTGTTCCTGCTGCTCCTAACTCTGCCTTCCCTCCAGTATAGTCACATCCCTGCAGTGTAATGAGTTAAATTTAGTTTGATCTGTTGCGTTTGTTTTCAGTGCCCTTTGCAGTATGTTTTATAGCAGAAACCCAAATTGTGATGACTGTACCGTCTTTCTGCAGATACTCTGAGCACAGTAACACCAAGTGTGTGGGGATCACCATCGAGACGCGGCCAGACTACTGCCTGAAGCGGCATCTCAGTGACATGCTGGCGTACGGCTGCACCAGACTAGAGATCGGAGTGCAGAGCGTCTATGAAGATGTGGCTCGTGACACCAACAGGTCAGGGCTCGAAGCTCACTGACCTATGGCTTGTTTTTCTTTGTTTTGAAATGATTTTTCAGACTGAAAGTGGACGCTTACTGAATCGAAGCCATAGAAGTTACTCGCTGTTAAAGTCATTTGCCTCTGTTTCTGTGTTTATTGTAACAGAGGACACACAGTCCGAGCCGTGTGCGAGTCCTTTCATCTGGCTAAAGACGCTGGCTTTAAGGTGGTGGCCCACATGATGCCTGACCTGCCCAATGTGGGCATTGAGCGCGACATTGAGCAGTTCATAGTGAGTATCTCTTAACTGACCCAGGTCCTGTTTCTGGTTTTATAAGTTTGCCAGCTGAAGAGTAGTTATCATGTAATACCCAGCTGCTTCAAAGGCAGTTGAATGTTGTCATTGACAGCTGTTGCGAACTGAGTAACTACTTTTTTTGCTATTTGTTTTTACTATTTGGTAATGATAAAGTGGAATTAAAAAGTCTGGATTTTTTTCCTGTACATAATAACAGTGCTGTGCTATGCCTTAGGCATAAGGCAAATATGTTAAGCTGTTTATCTGGCCAATAAACATTTTGTTTAAAAAAAAAAAAAACACACACTAACATTACAATAAATCCAAATAAACAAAACTAGGGCTACAGCAACCAATTGACATTGTCATTGACAGCGAATCTTATTAGTTGGCTTGAGGACATTTGTGCTCCTCGTTTAAGTGTCACCTGTCTGAAAGATGGAAAATGCAGATGATGGAGACGAAAGGACGTGTTCGACTCACGTGGTCAAAAATATGAGAACACCACTTTAACATCTTAAAAGACGGATTTCTGAAAATTGTTTATAGCTTAGAAAAATTGCTTACGTTTGTAGCTTACATTTTACGGCGGCACTAACGTCATGAGCGAGGATATAGAAGCTGCGTTCCAAAGCTCAGGCTGCAGCCGAGGTAGGCTGCATTTCTCGGCCGCTACATCATAGCAGGCCGTTCCAAAGTGAAGGACCCTTCATATACAGCCTAGAAATGCAGCCTACGTTCTGAGTGATTTCAAGGATGCATCGGATGTTTCCTTCCAGGCTTTCGGTTACCCACAGCACAAACAACAGCACCATGAAAATGGTGGGAAACAAAGCCGTTGGAGCAGAGCTTGTTTTAAAATGTAAGTTGTTCACGTGCTTGAATTCGTCTTCGTTACAATAGAAAGTGTAAAATAACCGAATAATTAAGGAGTTCGTCCACATATCATATCGTCCATATATCGTATTTTATTTAGCAGTATTTGTGTGTATGTAGTTTATCGCACTACATAAGAACATCTCCTCCATTCAGTTCCCTCACGAGTTTGGCGCCGCTCTGGAGACGTGACCACGCAGCCTCGTTAGGACTGTTCCATTTGTGTGACCAATAGGCTACTAAGGAGGAGTCTTCGTAGGACAGTTCTACCGAGGACCCGCACTGCCTCGGCTGCAGCCTAGGCTTTGGAGCACACTCGATTATACAGAATCATGTTCATTGCAGGAAATCACAAAAGCGTTGCTTTATTTTCATCTAAATAATATAAAGTAAAAGTGATAAAGTGACCCTTATTAGTCCAACAGTGGGGAAATTTCACCGCATTTAACCCATCCGTGCAGTTAAACACCACATACACACTAGTGAACACACACACACTAGGGGGCAGTGAGCACACTTGCCCGGAGTGGTGGGCAGCCCTATCCACGGCGCCCAGGGAGCAGTTGGGGGTTAGGTGTCTTGCTCAAGGGCACTTCGGTCACATACTGTCGGCTCAGGGGATCAAACCAGCGATTTTCCAGTCACAGGACTGGTTCCCTAACCTCCAGCCCACGACTGCCCCTAGGTGCTTTAGGATACTGCTTGTCTGAAATGGCTTAATCTGTATGTTTGGTTTGATGCCGCTCAAACTAGTTGTTATCTTTGCTTTATCATTAGAGGATAAATTGTTTTAAAAGCTATGACCAGACTTCCTCCACAATATTACTCCATTTAAATTGGTTCATACATTATTCTTTTATTTGTGCAACACTGAGAAAAATAATGTTGTTTTACGTCAGTGCAGAAGATGTCCTTGATAAAAGTCCTTTTCTGACACTTTTAGCTGCACGTTTTCTTTCCCTGATTTATCAAAGTCATAATGAACTGATCAATCGATTATGGATATTGTTTTTAGTTGCGTCATTGTGATTGTATGTCTGTCAGAGGGTTTGCTCAAACATTTCTAAAGCCCTCCTGGAGGAAGTCCAGTATTTACGGTTACCATCCAGTACCTGCTTCACCTGATCACTCCTTCATTAAATTAAATCAGGTGTGCTGCTGATGCGTTTTCACAAATCCATGCAGTGGCTGGACTGGACTAATTGAATTTTTTCACACCAAGATATTAAACTGTATTACATTCTTATGATTTACTGTAATTATTTGTATTATTATAATGTTGTGGTATTTATTTTTTAAAATTACACATTGTCAAGACTCAGTTTTAAGAGTACAAATGAAGTGTAGATGTCAAATTCACTGAACAATCCCCCCCAACACAGATGAAGTAACCCATGCAAGTGAAATCATGAACGGAAGTGGTATTTATACCCATAGAACCCACACACGCGTATTATTTCCGTCATTTATTTCCTGGCTCGAGCGTGGCTCACGTTTGACTCGTCTTGCATGTTCACAGTAGTCGCTGAGCAACAAAACAAAACAACGGTCCTCATCCTGTGCAGCACTGATCAGTGGTGAACTGAGCTGAACTTGATGAGCCAATGCTTTAGCACCAAATGGGCATCAGACATTAGACTATAATAAATGACTAATTGCCTGTGCCAGCACTTTGTTTTGCTATTCCAAAGGACGGTAGATGGTATTGAAGTCAAGTCTGTGTATTAACTGGTACTGGGACTGAGGTTTTCTAATGACCCAGAGAGGGATGGGTGGGGATCAAGACAATAACTAACAAGATATCCAGTTTGGTTTGGGCAAGGTAACAAGACATGGGCGACGATTGACAAGTCAGCTGATACGATGCTTGACGGGCAGTAGTTGCTTCTGCTGCTGGGGAACTAGTTAGACCTAATTAAACTTTCAACAGCTTACAAATAACATTTACATGTAATATTTCGTTTTCTTTTGCTCAATAGAAATAAATATCTATATGATTTTATTTGGGTCGTTTTTAAGTGTTGCCTGCCACGTCTTGTTCAGCAGTGCTACAGAAGAATAGGTGTCATTTTTAAATAGTTGTCCCTGTAATCCTCTGTTACTGCAGGCCTTTGTCTCTCCTATTAACCAACATGATCGCCTTAGTGTACAGTCTAGTTCATCAGCCTACAGTAGTATCAGATTTATTGTAAAAGTTATCAGAGGTGTGTTTTAGATGTTTTGAGAGTGAGATATATATATATATATATATATATATATGCCTAATAGGGAAATAAGAGCACATTCAGGCACCTTTACTACTTAAAATTTTATTTATTTAAACATTACATTTGTGTTTACGCTCACACTCACGTTCACTTCCAAAGGATTATGTAAAGTTATGCCTATTTTTTGTTGTCTCCATTTTTCTCCATGGTTATTCCATAAGCTCTTCAAACAGAAATGGGCTAAGACCTCAGAAGAAAGGGGATCAGCCCCGGTGCAGTTCTGTGTCATGTCAGAAGCTTATCTCATAAAGCAGTGAGAGGAGGAAAGCAGCAGCCGTAGCAGAGCATCATGTGCATTTTATATGCAGATTTACCTTGCGTGTTTTATGAATCGCATGTTGCTAGGAAAAAATTAAATTGAGGAATGGAAAAAAATTAAAAATACAATCTACAGTGAAAACATTGCCCTCATTGTCATCATATACTAGGGCTATCAAACGATTAAAGTGGTTAATCGAGATTAATCATATGAGTTTGTGTTGTTGATCGTGATTATTTAAATGCGTAGTTAATGGTAATTAATCTGTCACATTTGTCTTATCTTCTCAAGTTTGACCCTAAAGAGAGATCTTCCCATTTAAAAAGCGGTGCATTTTGTTGCAGCTTTATGTGGGCGTTATACCCATATTAGGAACTTCAGGTCTACGCTTGATTTCTCTAGGGTCAGGATGAATAGGGTTTTCAAGCATTGCCTCTATCAGACCCCATGGTAAATAAAAATGTTCAGAGCCAGATACATTTTGTTCTGCATTTTTCTCCTGAATATCACTGGACACTCAGATTTATCAGGTCATTAATGAGTGGAAATATGAATGTTGCTACATGCAAGCTGAAGCCACTGCGCATCAATTTAATGTCACTAAGCTACACACAAGTAAGGCGGGCTGTGCCAGTGCTCTGACGGGTTGTGCTACCTTATCGAAGGCTCAGTCCCATTTTTTCTTTTTATCCCTACCCCTCGAGTGTCACCCTAACCACTTGAAACTGAGTTACAAGGGGTAGTGGCTGAAATCTTGCCCTACGAAGTGGGACAACCCTCAAACAAAATAAAAAAAAACACTGCTTCATTAACAGCTACTAGCGCTGCTCTGTAGGCGACCCGGCCCGTCTTCAGTGATAGCAGAGGAGGGTAAAGTTCAGCTCCTCACTGCTGGGCTTTAGTTACATTTAGGGCATCGTATGCCTTCAAAGAGGGGCTATAAGACAATTATTTATTACCACCGCTAATCAGTGATACGAAGCTGAAGTCAGATGTTCACCAGCTTCTTGTTCAGATTCTCCCGTTCCACCTTAAATGGTGCAGCAGTTACAACTGCCGGACTATTTAAGGTGGAACGGGAAAGTCAGCTAGCTAGCTACCTAGACATTAGCATGCTATTAGCGATTTTTATGCTTGTTATGAAGAAAACGACCATAATACACTGAAACAACATTAAACTAAGATAATACAGTGGTTATTGCAATTTTTAACTTTTCTTTGGTCTCTTGTTCAGCCATCTTGCTGGTTTTTCTTTCTGATAACCCTCAGTTTGGAGTCTCTGAAAAAACTCAGTTTGGAGGGCCATGTAGCCCTAACACTTCACCCTACCTCTCTATCTCAACAAAAATTGGGACACCCTACCCCTAGACGTGAAAGCGCAAAACAGAGGGCTAAGTGGTAGGGGCAAGGGGTGAAATGGGATTGGGCCCAAATGTCCTATTGTAGCACATACTAATACATAGGCTAAAACTCCTTAACAAAAAGTACTGTAAGTACTACTGTGTTAAAACTATGAGGCTGAATTTAGCTTATTTCCTCGCAGCTTCTTATCCAAATTTTCCCGTTCCACCTAAAATGGTGCAGCAGTTGTG